CCAGCTGACCTTAATCAGTAATAGGAGAAGCAGTCATAGCCAAGAGAATGAGGATGATGCACAGGGACGGGGTGGTTAGTTTGATTGACGCTGACAAACTGGAACCTGTTTTTCAAACTGCGACACTAACAGACCTAGAAAATCAAGCTGTGACATCTGAGAGCGTCATTTATATCAAGGCCTCCCAGCGTAATGTGTCAACTCAGTCCAAGGGTTTGAGGAGAAGGAGTCAATGCCATGTTTGTTGATACACTGAATTATACAGCACAGTCAACTGTGCTCACAGCTCCAGGCTTCACACAAACCTCCTTCCACCCTCATCATAGAGCTCGGTCACCATTTGTTTCAATTCTTTCATCAGCTGTGGGTAGTGCTGTCAAAGCCAACATTCACTCCCCATCTCCAACTGCCCATCAGAAGGTGGTGGAGGGATGCCTTCTTGAACCACAGGGGGCCACATGGTGCAGGGACAGTCATAGTGGTGCCAGGAAGGGAACACCAGGATTTTGATCCAGCGATATATTTCCCGGTCAGGACGGTGAGTGGCTCGGGAGGGATTTGCAGGTGCTGGTGTTGCTATGTACCTGCTGCTGTTGTCCTTTTCCGTGATAGAGGTTGGGGTTTGGAAGGGGCTGTCTAAGGAGTCTTGGTGAGATGCTGCAGTGCATTTTTCCTTTATATTCCGTGATGGGGTGTGGGCATCCTAGTGAGGCCATTGTAGGATGCCCGTCCTTAATTTCCTTTGTACTGGGGACCTTGCCAGAGGGGAATTAAGAATCAACCACATGGCTGTGGAGTCACACGCAGGCCAGACCAGATAAGGAGATTGGATTTCCATCCCAGAGGGACATGTGAGAACTAAATGTGCTTCTACGACAATCAATGGTAGCTTCATGGGATCATCACTGTGACCAGCTTTAAGGATATTTTTATTCAACTTGCTCAGATGTGTTACAACACACCTGTGTGGCAGGTGTGACTTCAACCCAGGACTCTTGGGTACGAAGTAGGAACACTACCACTGCACCACAAGAACCCTTGGGACCTGCTTTATATTCCAGATTTCCCAATTGATTTTAAATTCCATCAGAAGCTGTGCTGGAATTAATCCATCCTCAGAGCATTAGTCTGGTTCTCTGCATTACCCATCTGATGATATCACCAGAAGGTCCCCATCCCCCAAGTAAATGGTGCACATTACTGACACCGTGGGTTGGTGGTGGAGGGTAGACGGTCAAGTGGGTTGCTCTGTCCTGGACGGCATTGAACTTTGTGAGGGTTGTTGGAGCTGCACTCATCCAGGCAAGTCGAGAGAAGTCAGGCCCAAACCTGCATGTTATCCAGGTCTTAAACACAGGACCGTATGAACAGGAGTAGCCCATTCAATCCTCCCAGCCAGTTCCACTATTCAATGAGATTGTGCCTAATCTGCGGCTGAATTATAAATCTGCTTTTGGCCCATATTCGTTAATACCTTTGTTAAAAACAATTAATCTATTTCAGATTTAAAATTAACAACTGATCCTGCAACCAGTGCTGTTTGTGGAGGAGAGTTCCAAACATTTACCAACCTTAGTGTATAAATGTGCTTCCTAACATCGCTCCTGAACAGTCTGACCTTAATTCTCAGACTATATCCTCCAGTTCTAGAATCCCCAATCAATGCAAACAGTTTATCCTTATATACCTGTCTTTTCCTGTTAATATCCTGAAGACTTTGATTGGGTCACCCTTTAACCTTCTAAATTCCAGAGAACACAGGCCTAATTTGTATTTAGTCTCCTCATAACCTCTGAAGTACAGGGATAGTTCTTGTAAATCTATGTTGTACTCCTGCCAAGGTCAATATATCTTTCCTGAGGTGTGGTGCCTAGATATGCTCACAGTGTTCCAAGTGGGGTCTAACCAGGATTTTGTATAACTGCAGGATAATGTCTGCATCCCTGTACTCCAGTCCTATAAAGGCCAGCATTCCATTAGCTTTCCTGAATATTTTCTGCACCTGTTTGTGACATTTTAAAAATCTGTGTTCTTGAATCTCCCATTCTCTTTGCACATCCATTGTATTTAACTTCATAGCATCTAGAAAGTACCTTGACCTTTCTGAAGAAGGGTCTAGGCCCGAAACGTCAGCTTTCCTGCTCCTCTGATGCTGCTTGGCCTGCTGTGTTCATCCAGCTCTACACCTCGTTATCTCAGTACCTTGATCTATTCTTTTTCATCCCAAAATGTGTAACCTCACACTAATCTCTATCTGAGGAATCACGAATATTGCTGAACATTGTGCAATCATCTGTGGACATCCCATTTCTGACGTTATGATGGAGGGAAGGTCATTAATGAAGCAGCTGAAGATGGCTGGGCCCAGGACATTACCCTGAGGAACTCTTGCAGAGATGTCCTAGAGCTGAGATGGCTGATGGCTCACAATTTCAGCCAAATACCTTTATTTTAGATATGACCCTATAACCAATTGGAGAACTTTCCCAATGATACCCATTAACTTCAATTTTTGCTGGGGCTTGTTGATGCTACACTTGGTCAAGTGTAGCCTTGATGTTAACGGCACTCACTCTCACCTCACCAAAGAACACGATCAAAGGGATCAAAGAACACGAAGAGAAGACAGGAGAATGGGGTCAAGAAAGATATCGGCCATGATTGAATTGCAGAGCAGACTGAATGGGCCAAATGGCCTAATTCTGCTCCTATGTCTTATGGTCTTATGGTAATGGGCCAAAGGACTTTTTTCTGTGCTGTAGATCTCTGACTCTATCCAGACCACAATAAAAAGATCTAACCCGACCAATGACTGCCCTCTCAGTCCATTCTCAATCATCAGTAAACTTCTAGTTGGTGTCATTGACGTACTCAGGAATAAATTGATGCTCATTTAGGATTCTTCCAGGGCTCCTGACCTCAATACAGATTTGGTTCAAAAATGCACAAAGGAGCTGAATTCCAAAGGTGAGGTGAGAGTGAGTGCCGTTAACATCAAGGCTACACTTGACCAAG